TAAACTTGAGCAAAAAAAAAGCTGGCAAAGTCTTTGTGAATCTTTTAATAGAAATACTCCCATTAAGTTTATATGGCAATATATGAGAAAATTTAATAGTACTTCTCCTGGTAGCAAAAGCTTTTCAGATAAGTGGGTCAACCCCTTTCTAAACAAGTATACCCAAGAATGATTCAGAAACTTCTCCTTTTGTATTACTAGGACATAAATTAAATGACACCAATAACTTTATTGTAAACCCTTTTTCTTTGCAAGAACTTCAAAGTGGCTTAAAATCTCGTAAAAATACTGCATGTGGACTAGATTGGATATCTTATCGCATGCTTAAGGAACTAAATGATAGTTCACTTCAAACCTTTTTATATATCCTCAATTCATTATAGATCCACGATAAAATTCCTGATTCTTGGAAAACAGATTGTATAGTCCCTATCTTGAAACCAAACAAGAAACCAGGTTTAGTTGATTCATACCGCCCTATAGTCTTATCTTCATGTGTTGGTAAGATATTTGAACAGTTGCTTAAACAGAGACTAGAGTTCTATATAGAGAAATATGGAATTTTACCTGACAACCAATTTGGATTCAGGAGAGGGAAATCCACTCGGGATAGTATAAGTCATCTTCATGAGAAAGCTTTCAGAATATCCAATTCTGAAAGCTTTCTCAGATGACAAAGCACTTCTTTGTGTCTTCTTTGATATAGTTGGTGCTTTTAACAACATTAACCACCAAGTTTTATGTTCGGAACTAAATTCCATTGGATTGCCTGCAAAATTGAAATGAAATTAAAAATCCAATTTATGACAAATTGGATTTTTAATTTCATAAATGGTAGAAAAGTTTTTGTTAAATATAATTCTATGCTGTACGGCCCTACATACTCATTTAAAGGTAGTTGTCAAGGTAGCATTTTAAGTCCTCTTTTTTTCATTTTGTATATAAGAAAGCTTAATATAATCTTAGGAACTAGTGTATATAATTTGCAGTTTGCTGATGATTTAGCTATTTACTGTAGCTCTAACAGTATTCAGGAATCAGTTGATAAATTGAACCACACAATAACAAGACTTAAATCATACTTTGATTCACTACATTTGAAAATTAGCCCAGAAAAAAGTAAAGTAGTTGTTTTTAGCAAAAGAAAATGTTCAATAAATGTAAATATTATATATGATAATTCAATTTTGCCTGTTGTAAATAATGTAAAGTTTTTAGGGGTGATATTTAGTACTAATTTGTCTTTCAAGTCCTATGTTTTAAATATAATTGATCGTGCTAATAGAACATTTAATATTTTGAGAAGTTTAGCGAAAACTTCATGGGGTTCAGATCCAAAAATATTAAAACTTCTATATAAATCACTTGTTCGGAGCCATATTGAATATGGATTTTTATTTTATTCAAATTTAAATAAGTGTATAGAAAAATTGGAAAAAATACAAAATAAATGTCTAAGACTTATCATTGGTGCAATGAATACATCACCAATCAATTCATTACAGATTGAATGTAATATTGAACCTCTTAAATTCAGATTTCACTATTTAAGAAAAAAATATATTTTAAAACAATTTTCTGTCTGTAACAACAGACTACTCCCGAAAGTATTAGGTTTCACAAACAACATTACAACCATATACAGATCTCATGCCTAACCTCAAACAAGAAATCAAGACCCAATGGCTCGACCACTGGAAGATATCTCTGCAAGAGAAAGGAAAATGGTTTGGAGAAATTCAGAAAGACATACGTGCCTCCTGGTTTGATAAAGGACAGTACAGAACAAGAGATTTTTATACCACTTTAAGCAGACTTAGAATAGGTCATTGCCTTTTTAAAGATCACCTGTACCGGCTCAAGATGGTCAGCTCACCTGTTTGTAACTTCTGCAACATAGATAATCAGTCCCTGGACCATATCTTTTTCTTTTGCGGTTCATTTCAAGTACAGAGAAATTTGCTGCTTCAAGACCTTCGAAGTACTTTTGGCGAAGAAACCATCCCGCGCGACTTGAGAAAACTTTTACAAAATAAAGACACCTACATTCCTTTATACAAATTTGTAAAAGCTACAATCAAAACACTTTAAGAAAGAAAAGTTAACAGACAGGGCTGTATGGACTCAGAATCCTTTGCCCGTCCCAACAGGGACAAATTAACCAAAAAAAAAAAGAAAAAAAAGAAAAGAAATAAAGAAAAAGAATTGTAGAGCACATCCCAAGCATTCTTTTAAAAAAATATTCAATGTTTTGACTTTACTACCATTTTAAAATATGTATATTGAAAGAAAAGCCCGTAAAATATACCTACTCTCTTTTAGTATCCTTTCATGGAAGACTGTTTTATTAAAGGATTAATGTGAGTGAAAACGCGAAGTTAAGAATAAGATTTTGGTTTGCTTTCATACTCTATTACATAATGCAACATGTTTAATCAATGGGAAGTGAAATCCAATATTATGTTCTTTATTTTTGTGTGATACTCGATTATGAGGTGAAATCAACGTGGATCGCGTGCGTACAGCACCTACAGTACGATCCTATCAAAATTGAAATGATTTAATTTCCGATGAATGGCCGTGGGGAGTTCTTAGGGAGTTTTATACGATTTGAGTTCCCGATTCACGCCGTTACGACACGGCTTGGTTATACACTGGTTAGTACGGGTAATTGATGTACATTTACAAATTTGAATCGCGCTCAAACACGTGTAGATAGCATCTTTTTATGACTTTGTATAACATAGCACGCAAACCACTACAATTTCATTGTGTAATATGTAGTTAGATATCTTTAGTTTGAAATTGAATAATAATTGTTTAAAAACTTTCCAAGCTTACTTATATAAAAAAATAGATATAAAAAATAGCCTACTACTATTATAAATGTGAAAGTTTGTCTATTTGTAACTGAATCACGCAAAAACTAGTGAACAACAGATTTGGATGAAATTTGCTACGCATATAGTTTATAACCTGGATTGAGACAGTGGTAACTTTATATCCAGGAAAATGCTTAGACTTTTTTGATATGTGTACTAAGTACCAACCCCACAAGGTATATATGGCTTGAGCGCATGGATGATTTATTATAAAAAAACTCACATAGTATTTGTTATGCCAAAAAATTACTGAAATAAGTAATTGTACCTAATGTCTAGAATTTATACGCAACAGTTATTACACCGAGCAAAGAATGGCGAACGGAGAAAAAAAAATATGCTGGGGTCTTACAAAGTGCGCCCGGAGGCGCAACCGGTACGGGGACCGTAATTGAAAAATAAAAGACCGTAATAATAGAATTTACATTACGTGCTTTCCAATGACAAATTTCGCCGTATGTCTGTTTTTGTCAGAAGGAGACATTGACTTCGTGTGTAGGTACAACAATTCTGCCACGCGCCCTTCTCATTTGTGCCCGTGCGTGTGATGTTCAATTTGTTATTTTAATATATACTCTTGCGGGATTTGGAAATTTGGTAATAATATTACAGGTCAATTCTTAAACCAATTCTAATTCAAAAAATGGTATTATTGAAGATTTTAATCGAGCAGTACCTTGTGGTAGGTTAGCCAAGACAGTATTGGATTGGTATTAATAAGTAGATCATGATGAACCGATGTTTTAATGGCGTAGCTAACCTCTGAGATTCTAGACTTTATTCATCTCGCACCAAAGTCAATCAAATCGATAAACCCCTCATTATCTATCTATTTACTACTAAACTATCATAATGAATATGCATATGTCACAGTTAAAACTTATACGGTCAAAATAAAGAAAAAATAATTTTGGCATGCGTCGTTACTAAAAAATGTTTGTCTGATTTATGTAGTCAAAAGTGATTTTGATTCAGAAAGTATTGAATGACAGTTTCTGAATCTCAATCAAAGCTCGCAAAAGGTTGACAAAAATGACTTGCTGTGTAACTACACAACAAGTCATTTAGGACTCTAAATTACCGCTTATGCTGAGCAATCAAATAAACCGATTGGTTGCTTTTAGTCATGTACGCTGGTTATCGCAGACGCAGTTAGATTAGATCTCACTGGAAATCAATTGATTGGGTTAGATTAGAGATGTTGGAAGCGGAGCTATATTTGACGACCTCCGTAGCCGAGTGGTTTGTACGCCGGGTTTCATAGTGACGCCAACTCGAGAGGTCCCGGGTTCGAATCCCTGTAGAAGGCAGATGTTTGTGTGAAGAATACGAGCATTTGTACTCCAGTCATGGATGTTTAATATGTATTTCTATATAAATATGCTTATATATGTACAGTTTATGTATTCTTTCCGTTACCCTAGCATCCCATAACACAAGCCTTACAGTGCTTACTTTGGGGCTAGGCTAATTGCTGTGTGTAAAAAAAATGGGTGCGTGTACTTATGTACGTGCGTGAGAAGTTTTACTTCTTTGGCATCATTAAAAATTAGTTTTTAATTGCATGCAAATAATTAATTGGGATAAAATTATAAAAGGACTGGAAAAAAATAGTCAACACAGTCAATATAGTTCAGTTTAAATTTGAAAAATTAAATAAATAAATATTTATTTTCTTACATTAAGTATAACACAAATTTTCTTATTATTCGAATGTTATTTTTAAATTATGTCTACTGCCATAGCATCTTCCGGTAATGACTGAATCGGAACTTCAGTTATCAGTGGCTTATGATAACTAAAATATGATACGAAAAGTATTGTATTGACAGCGTTGAGATATCGTGCAAATACAGCATCTATGGTAGTACCATGTCGTGTTGTCGAAATCAGAGGATTATTATTCATGGCTAGATTCAAGTCACTTTGGAGGAAATCAATAAGTGGACGAGCATCTTCACGGGAAAAATTGACGTTGAAGTCTCCACTTAAAATTATCGGTAACTTGTCTTCTCCTTTACCAAGATATTGTCTTCCAGCTGTTGTATATGGCCATAATATTCTTTTCAAGAAATGAATGATGTCGTCCATTTTTTGATTTGGAGTAATGTAAATTACCATCAAAACAATTTTGTTGCCATTTTCCATTTTGCATTCAGCTGCACAAAACTCACCAACTGATGTCACTGTTGAAGTTGTTAATTCCGCCTGCCTTACAGTCATATCAATGTTTAGAGTAATGACATTGGTAGTGTCGTGCATATTCTGATAAATGGCAACTCCTCCAGCTCGAACGTTCGATCGCTTATATTGTATTATGCAATTGAAATTTGGTATACTAATCGACTCTTCATTGGCTAACCTGGTTTCATTTAAAAGTAAAACATTCGATTTTTGCATAATTGGATCAATAAGATCAATGGAATGAGCACGGAGACTTTGACAGTTAAATGTATATATTGTCAACCCTCTCCTTTGATTAATAAAATCTAACAGATCATTGGTGATAGTTTGTAAGCGATTAAGCGAGAGTCTACGGAATTCTTCTTGAAGACTATTTATAGCTGTGGATGCTCTTCGGCCATGATAGAAAGTTTTATCATTGTCTTTTGTTGTAATGTACAAACCTTGAAGACTAGTCACCCGCGTCAATGCAACATACACTAATGACAGTTGATGTTTCTTATCATATTCATAAACAATTTCAGGGTATGTACTTCCCTGAGATTTATGAATCGTAGTTGCGCAAGCGCAAACCAAAGGTAGATGCGATCGTTTAACATTTATCGTTTTGTTGTTATTAAGTGGAATAGTCGCAGATCTTCTTCCTATCGGTACAACAGTTGTACTAATTTGATGAGAAGCTATCTGTCCAGCGACTTTTTTGAAGTTATACTTCTTTAGGCGCGTTATGAAAAAAATGATGAGAGTGAAATTTTTAGATGCGCGCGCATCACTGTAACCCAAAAGTAACAGCATGAAGTTGGCCGCGGGCGCCTTATGAAAAAATCATGTGAGTGAAATTTCGAGATGCGCGCGCATCACTGTAACACAATAGTAACACCATGAAGTTGGCGGCGGGCGCGTTATGAATGTTAGTGTCTAATAATGGATTATTAACCACTTAGTGGTAAATAATCCACCATTATTAGACATCTGTTCGAAAGGTACTTTGAACGATCCACGGAGCTCCATAAGATGATCGCGTTGTCAAAAACAGTGTTGGCACGCTCGTCGCCTCTGATCACTGTTTTCATATTTATAATATTTATCCACATGTTTCTAGTTTCTATATAGACATAACGTGTTTTAGTTACTTACAAGTGCTAATTACATATGGACTAATAACTTAAATTCAGTAGTGATTTTAATTGAATATTTTGAATATTTATTTAATTTTTCAAATTAAAACTGAACTTAATTGACTGTGTTAACTATCCTTTTCCAGTCCTTTTATTATTTTATTGTAATTATTAATTATTTGCATGCAATTAAAAATATTTTTAATGATGCTAAAGAAGTATAACTTCTCACGCGCGTACATAAGTTACACGCATCCATTTTTTCTCTATTTTTTGACCAATGTTTGGTGAGTCTGGGAAATCAAGCCATACAACATTCACATCTTCTTCATCATTAAATTCAAGATGAACTAATTTTCCAACAGCTCCATTTGCTAAGCCATCTGACACATCGATGTTTGTTGTAATCATATAAAAAACATTCAGCACAAATACGGTTTCATAAGGCAACCCTCCAGTATCAATGAGCGACATTTTATATAATTTTTGACGTACAAAAGCTGTTTGTTCTGCTGAAGTACAACCAACAAATACGTCTTTAGCAATCGAAGAAGTTTTATTTTGAGCAGCACTTAAAATTCGGTTATTATATCTTGTGACAGCCTCGTTTGTATTGAATAATCTGATTCCATGTGGACATTCTACTTCGGCCTCTTGAGTTGTTACAAATCGCGATTCCAATAAAATTAATTCGCGGTCGTCGAGTTGTTGACCATTCCCAATTTTTGTCAATATTGAAGAAAACTCTTAGTTTGCTTGCCGCATAACTTGATCTAATTCACAAAATTTGAATCCACGCCATAAAATAGGTCCAACAATTTTCTGCTTCTGCTGTTTGTAAATTGGAGTAGCTCGTACTGGTGGTAACTGGCGTAGATCTCCAATCAAAATAACATCTAAACCACCAAAATTAGTTTTGAAATCTCCAGTAATCTGCTTCAATCTAGAGTCAATCTGAACAAGTAATTCAGCACTAATCATACTTATTTCATCAATGATTAACACTTTGATGTATTTGAATAGTGCTCTATATTGATGTGCTACTTCAGTACTAAGTGGAAGTAATTTCGACAAAGATATTTTTAGGGCAGTATGTACGGTAGTTCCGTCAATAGCAACAGCAGCTTTGCCAGTTGAAGCACAGGCGATGTACGAGTTACAGCATCCATCATTCTCACTATATCGATTATAAATTTCCATGATAAGTTTTATGACGAAAGTCTTACCACATCCAGCTGGACCCGTAAAAAATATTTGAAATGGACTACGGTTTGGAGTTAATAGATTTGAAATGACATGTAGCAAGAGCTCTCTTTGTTTATCATTAGCCATTCTCATCAATTCGTAAAACTCTATATTTGGCATTAAATTTTCTGGCTTTTTAGCGATAGGTCCAAGTTTATTAAGTACAGCTAGACGAAGATCGCTATTAATATCGGAAAGAGGGTTGTTATATAAATTTTGAAATGGATTCGGTTCAGATGCGATATTAGCAACATCTTGTACTTCAGTTTCATCATCGAAACCATCTTCTCGGCATAAATTTCGAGAAATTTCAATTACTTTCTGGATATCCAAATTAGATTCAAATTCTTTTCGATTATTTAAAATTTCATTTTCATTTCTATTATATATATCGATAAATTTCATTTCAGCGAGTATTTCCGCATCTTCATTTCGGAAAGGAATATGTAACGTAACCATTTCACGTTTATATTTATTAAGATCTTGTCCCATATCAAAATTTCGGTATCGGATAACACGTGGCACTTTTCTTTTTGTGTAAGTACCATCTGCTTTAATGGTGTAGTTAGCAACAAACTGCGCAAGAGTAATATTTTCCAAATCTTCGTGTCGGCGTTCATATTTGTCAAACCAATTTTCTTTCTAAATGTTAGTTGAATCTTCTCCAACGCCTATCGCGTCTAATTCGTTTTGTGTTTTTCTTATACGTTGACGATCACATGGCCACATAGTGGGAATAGTGGTGACAACAGTAGAACACTTTGACATCGGTTCTCGCAAAAGATACCAAGCCGCCTCTTGACTTGTTATCTCAACACTATTGAGCATATTTACACCTATTTTCCTCGTAATTTCCACGACATTAAACTCTGGATGTTCATTCATAGTTTCAATTATCAATCGCTGAAGATGACTAATGCCTCTGTTAGTTTTATTGACATACTCTGCGACATAACTAGCACATGAATATTCTTCGGTAATGAATTGGATATCCATATTGGATTTAACAATGTTAAATGGATTATGCCATTTTTCACATGGTTGACGTTTGACAAAAACTCGTGGCCTCTTAATTCCAGCTCGAAGAATATTGTGATAATCATCATCTGAATTAATATTATTACTCTTATAGAAAGAATCAATATCATGATAATCATTATTTTCCAAATTAATCCGGATATCTGTGTAACGTTTAGCATAATTCTTGAAACCAGGTTCCTCTTTCTGCATAGGTAATAAAATTGTAGTAGATCGGCAAGGCATAAAAGGTGCTTCAAATCTGCAATGCTGAGGTTGATTCGCCACTATTTTCTTATAGCATGTGAATGTATGTTTGTGTCTTTGTAATTTAATGTTACCTGATGCTTCTCGAGATGACACAGATATCAAGTAATCAATTAGTGCGATAGAATCCAACTTATTTTTATCAAGCGCATCCATTGGAGCATTACCTAGCCACAATAGTATATGCGCATGTTTACTACCACGATGCTGGAACTCAATACGTTTAAAATAATGAACAAACTTATTATATCCCAAACGGACTAAATTTTGGTGATTGTAAAAGATTCATTAATACATTGACCAATTTGTTAAAATATATAGCACAAGTAACTGCATCCTCATTGACAAGAGTTGTTTTTTCAAGATAATAGAGAAGCTCGGCCATTTCTTCCGAAATAGTTTCACCGTTGTGTTTGAATTTGTAGAGCTTTTGGAGCATATCGTTCCATCCAATTTCATTGGCACTGACAGTAAGAAATATAGTCGGTTTTCCAAACTGTCTGATCATAGCAAAAATATCTTTCTTGCGATCCATCCAATACCATGTTGAATTTGGAATTGCTCTTAGAAACGCAAGATTGGTTTCAATACAATTATGAACGTACTGATCATCTTCTATTTGTTTCCGAGTAATTTTGGTATCTTTACCAACGTGTTTGAACGCAACTGTGAGAGAATCACGAACCCTCATCCTCATAATCTTCATTGCCATGTATAATAAATGATACGGTGTAACTGCACGACGATCATCGTCTTAGCTCACTAGAAGCCATCATGAAAGGGGTTACTTTCACACCATCCCTAAAATTACGGAACTGACCCAAGTAAATTGCGGGAAAGGAAAGTTCCTCTGCATGTTCATCAAATAATAAACTTTCAGGTACGTTTTCTTCACCAGGTGCAATACGTAAGTATTGTTCTTCATTCCACAGTAATGTCTGCTGTTGAGCCGTAAAACTTTCTTCTATAGGAATATGTTCGCTGAAATCATCTTGCTGAATTTCATCGTGAATTTGATTATCATTAAAAAATGAATCATCAACTTTAATATCGTACATAGTATACAATGGCGACGGAATTAAAAATCGTAGCCAACTTTTAATAGTACGCTTATTAACAATACTTTGTAAGTAGCTAGATCGATGAATTTTCTTACGTTGGATATGTACATTTATCGCGCGCTCGCGCTTCTTCTCCAGTACGCTGTATTTCCGCGGAGAGATTACACGTTGTTAGTGAGTAAACAGTGCGACTGTTCGAGAGATCGAGTTTTTACTCGCCGGATGATTTCGACCTTAAATGTAAGTACCTTTACCCTGTATATGATGGTAACAAATTTAACATGATTCACATTTGATACCTTGGATTTGTGTAGTTGCATATTAATTTAGTGTTTCTCCAATATTTTGTGTTTTTCGCATCATATCCCTGTATATGGGTATTTTTATTTCAATACTAATATAGTAAAAAGTGCCGCGGTTCTTCAACCCGCACATAGTGGCCCATCGACCAAAAAACGTTGACCCGACTTGTCGAACGTTGTGGTACGTCGGCTAAGGATTGTTAATACGTCGGAACAAGCTTCCTTGTCCGTCGTCCTAATACTGCTCATACGTCGGACCAAGCTTCCTTGTCCGTCGTTCTAAAACTGCTTATACGTCGGACCAAGCTTTCTTGTCCGTCGTTCTAAAACTGCTAATACGTCGGACCAAGCTTTCTTGTCCTTCGAACAAAAACCGGCAACGCGTCGGATAAAGCTATCTTTTCCGTCGACTATAAATCGGTAACTAGTCGGATCAGATCTTCTCGACCATCGTAAAAGATCTGTCCGCATGTTGAAGTGAAACTTATTACTTGTCGTTGAAAGAAGTATATATCCTCTCAATACGAGACTGTCAAGTTTTGTTACGACGACTATTTCCTGTTACAGAACGAAAAATGGCGCTTCCCAGAGCATTTACAACTTTGGGGCAACTAGCAGATCAAGAAATCATTGGCGACCGGCAAGTTCTTGATCGTATCATAGAAGTGATAGACCAGCTTTATCCAGCATCTTGGCGTGAATGGAAAGTGGTAGCTTATTCAAAGGAAGAGCTTTTTGGACTGAGAGTGGGTCCGAAAATATTTAATAAGCTACGTTTTGTTATTCCCACTATATCTATTGTAAAAGCTTTTGACCCTGAAGCGACAACAATCTCTGAGAAACAATTCAAGAACATAAAACAGACCATGCTATATTGGCCCCTTTGTAGGGGATTAATCGTTGGTCCTAAATCTATGGCAGCTGGAATCCATGGCTCTTTGGCACAGTTTGAAATATTCTTAGCGTCGATTGAAGAAATTAAGGCTTCAATAATTTCGAGGCAGGACGTTGAAAGTCTCATAGCGAAACCCGAAATTCCCACGAAGAAACGTAAATGTTATATCGAAAGTCCGGTGAATAATAAAAGGAGACGGTCTGAATATGATGATATAAGGATGCTCAAAGAGCAAACAAGGGCTCTGCAAGAAATGATGGAAGAGCTTTTGTACCAAAACGTCCCCAACATCGCCCCACGAGCGCTCAAAGATATAGGTTATATGTCAGACAAAGAAAACTTTCTTGAAGACTGTTCTTCCTCGATCGTGGCACCAGATTTTGGCCCCGAAGTTACGCCATGTTCTTCAGACATGTTTGATTTTACACCCAAGGTAGAAGAATCGGAACCAAAGATAATGATTGCACCGGTTGAACTGCTGAATCAAGCTATTGAATGCCAAAGATTCGACGAAGATAGTTGGGTTAATATTCGGTATTTAGAAGTTCAGAAAAAGTTTCAGGCGGCTCCGGCTTTTACTTCCTTGCAAGTAAATTCACAGCTTATAGCTAAGACACCTAACTGGATTCCTTACGAAAATATTGTTAAGACGGACCAAACTTTAGGTGCACTTACGCATGCTTTATTGATGCAACGTAAGTTCCTAAAAGAAGCATTGACCAATGTTGTCAATGAGGTGAATTCGAGTTCGCTTAGTGTCTCCGAAGCTATTGTGATAACAGATCCCGATACCGATTTCCGAAAATATTGTGATGATACCCTTCAGTACGTGTGTGGCCGCCGTGCTGACGTGATTGAAACCAGACGCTCCCTTTATAAGCCTTCTTCTAAATATATGCACCAGGCTTTACACAAAATAGCGCCTTCTTCATTCCATCTCTTCAACGAAGAAGGGCTTTCTGAAACTTTTAAGCTGCGGTGGGTATTATAAGTTTTTTCCCGCTCCCAAAGATGCAGCATGCTTCAAACAGTTTGACAATAAAACCCCACAATCCTCTAAATTTAAAGATCAAAAGCCCAAAAAGAATAGCTCACGAGGATCGTATTCCCATTCCATTCCATTTAGAAGACAGTCTGAAACCAAACCGAATAATAAGAGAGGTGCTCAGAGGCCGCTCATCGGCTAGACGTTTCTGTCTATGTTCCAACGGCACAGTAAGCGGGACGTCTGAAATATTTTGTAAACATCTAGAAAGCTCACGGCGCTCCTTCTTATATCTTAAACAAACGGGTATGCAAGTATCCTTTTCTAAAGAACCTCCCCTGATGGCGGTTACACAAGCAAATCAATGGAAACCAAGGATCAAATTTAATCCAACTAGAACTAGAGAAGTTAAAATAAATAGGTTTGGTAGAAGTTTGCAATCAACACTCTGTGTTCCTGTCCCGGTTATTATTAGTTCCAAAGTCGGACAGATCTCAATTCCAAACGCCCAGTGCTAAATCTACGACCTCTAAACCGTTTTTGAACCCGAAACCGTTTCGTCTTATCATCCATGAAAAGGTTCCGAATTTCTTAGAACAAAACAATTATTTAGCCAAAATAGACTCCTCAAATGCTTATCTTTACGTCCCAGTAAAATGGCTCACCGAAGATATCTGGCTCTGTCATACAATCCTTTGTATGTTATCAAATGACGGCACTTCCATGCGGCCTAGCGGTAGTACCAGTAATTCTTGCGCGTCTGACAAATTTAACAATTCGACAGCGGACAGCCTTTTATGGAAAAGACTAGTACCCGAGTAGAAACTGTCGATGTCGGTGACTCGCACTATATTGCGAAAGTGGGGAACGCCAGAGGTAGACCTCTTTGCGTCCAAGGCTACGGCGGTAGTTCACAATTATGTCAATCCACAGGACAGCAACGTGCTTTTCGTAAATGCTTTCAATCGGACGTGGGAGGTTAGCCTGGATTGCCCCCCCCCCCCCCCCCCATCTTTAATTCCTCAAATTCTTCAACACCTCAATCAAGGCAGGGGTTTATATAATAATTGCGCCCAATTCGGAGAAGCCCTTTTGGAGATAGCAGGGCAATAGCGCCTCAATTCCAGATACGAAACCTTCAGCACCATCTGATAGACATAATTATACAGGACACCCTCACTGGAAGTAAATCGTTTAAGTTTGGAGGCCTGGAAGGTTCGGGGTGGAACTCGTTAATAAAGAATTGGCAATATGAACATACTATTACTTGAGATGTCTTGGAGGAAGTCTGCGTTACTTACCTATAGGTCAGCTCGGTCGGTGGAGCTTGGCTTAGATGGTGCTTGGAGAACTCAGTTCCTAAAAGTAGTCCATGTTATAAGCAATTGGCCTCATCCCTGTGTCACCTTCATAAAACTGCACAAGTCAGTTGTGTGCACATTTTCAAACCCCTTTAATGAAGGATATGTAGGTTCTCATCCACTTGTATGTCGAATTATTAAAGGGACCTGGGATGTTGCGAAAGTAATAGAATGGCTTTACAATTTATTTCAACTTTCGAGACATTGAGCCTGTAGCAGCATTACTTCTTATTTATGTACCGAACGACGTATTCACGATCTCACCCTTCTTCATATTATAGGCATCGAGGAAATGCCAAACTTTAATGAGAGCCTTATTATTTGGCCCAGATTCGGTTCTAAATCCGACACTGTGAATTATTGAAGTTGGGATGGCAGTTTGCAAAAAGCGATATTGATAGCTTGAACATTCCGTTTTGGGTTAATAAACTTAAACTTAACTGAGAGTCGTAGATCAGCGAAAGCAAATTTAACCAGCCTGTTTATAACAACGAGAGGTGTAGTGAAAGCGACGTCTCTCTGTGTTATAGCTGAATGGGTGCGAACGGTCTTTGACATATTGAATATCAAAGCAACCCCAGGTAGAATGCGATCAGCTGTCACATCCAAAAATTACAGTCTTAGATTTGGAAGAAGTTCTTAGTAGAAGAAATTGGCGCAGCCAGTGTACCCTCTTCAAATATTCTTTTAAAGAAATATCTCGATGTGATTTATCGACAGGCAGATCCGCCGAATTATCTGATTGCTTCAGTACCCCTTAGATAGCCGTTAGAGAATAAATTACTGATAAATTAATTATGAATAAAAAAAAGCAAGACTGATTATAATTAATTGTTGATCTCGTTCAAGAATGACTTGTTAATTTTATTTGTTAAATTTAAATATTTTTGATTTCATCTTTACTAATTGAAGTAATTGCAGAAGTTCCTATTGTTGTTATTATTATTTTATCAATGAAGACTAGTATTTCAATACCGTATTTTTATTTTAAGGTAAAGTTATTTGTTAGTAACCATCCAGGGTCAAGGTAACTCACTATTTATATTTTCACAGTACGCTTCTATGGCCGGCAGAAACCAAACAGGTCTCAAAGGGTCAAGCCGCAGACTCAGACCTAAAATAGAACCGTTTTACCCCCGAAGGGAATAATACGGATATTTTGGGTCTAGCCAAGGCTTGACCCTAAATTCAAGGGGCTAAGCCGTCCTTCTTAAGATTGAGACGGTACTGGAGAAGACGCGCAAATCGCGTGCCGGCTGTGGCCCCACGCCCCTCACCTGCCTCGTGTGGGCGAGTCAGCGCGTGCATAGAAGCTAATTTGTTGTGAAAAGGAACTTATTTACGTGTAATAACTCCAAAGATGTACAAGTGTAATCTCAAAGGGTCAAGCCTTGGCTAGACCCAAAATATCCGTTTTATTCCCTTTGGGGGTAAAACGGTTCTATTTTAAACTAATGTTATTCATCATCATCATCATCATCATCATCAGCCTATTAATGTCCCCACTGCTGGGGCACAGGCCTTCCCTATGGATGGAATAGGGAGATTGGGCCATGACCCACCACGCGGGCCCAGTGCGGATTGGTGGGTGCTAACGACTGCAAATGCAGCCGGGACCAACGGCTTAACGTACCTTCCGAAGCACGGAAGAGCTCGAGATAGTAAATTTTTGGTCACCCATCCAATGACCGACCACTGCGAAAGTTGCTTAACTTCAACGATCGCAGCCGAACGCGCTAGCCACCTGCGCCATCGAGCTCCTCATGTTATTATATTTTGCAAAATGAATGTCCAATTTATCAACTAACCTTAATCTCTCCCTGTTTAATGTAATATTTTTATAAAGAACTTTCGTTTTTTAATTATGTTTTGAGATTTTTTTTAAATTAATCTATTAAA